TTAACTACAATAGGGGGTGCACGTGACCAAAGCACTCGTTCTGGATAAGCATGCTTGCTCGTCCGTGACTATTTACACAAACTGCATTCATTCACCAGCAGAAGTTTAAATGAACCCGCATGCGAGGCGTACAGTGAACTGTCTCTTCTTGGTGCTCTATAGGTCACTTGATTCTACTTACTAAACACCCACTCCTGCGTTCACACCGTAAATTCTGATGCACGAGGTCGCTGTTTGGATATCGGATCGTGTGATCGATCTATCGATTTTAAGTTTTATGCCTTGTCTCAGTTTGATTTCATTGTTTTTCTGCAATCGTCATTTAAACTCCGTTTAAAACCCTACGAGTTCACGTCGCTTTGCGGGACAGTTGCATACTACTTTCGTTTTAGCAACGTATTGTGAAGCACATCAATCTTGCTTACTGACGGCTTACGATCGTGATGCGTATTCTACTTTCTGGAAGGTAGTGTGTAAATGTCCCGACGTTATGTTTCTCTCCCCGACCACGGGTAAATGGGTATCAGATTTCCGGCATGATTGTTCCATTCGTTCCCTGTTGCAAATTACCTCAGACAGTTATCGTATAAGTATATGGCATCCCAAAACCGCATTTCCCATGTTGTATTGTTCCTCGACATGACACCCCGGACTGCATTTTATTTAAGCAGATCAGTGCCAACCGTTTTCCACGCGGGGTCGTTTTGGTGACTGCATGTATAGGTCTGCATGTGCGGATGCAACTTACTGCAACAGAACCGTATTTCGCCTCTGGCAACTTGCTCCTAGTTGCTGTGTCGTTAAGTGACGAGTTCCAGAACTGATACGCGGTGAATTGGCATGCTTTGGAACACCACCAAAATATGGTCGGTTCCATGTGCCCCATCTTCCAACTTTCCCAGTTAATTGATTTATCACCCGATACAGTTCAGTCGTCCATCCGTTCACCTACATGCCTCGGTGCGTGCGTGTTTTTGGTTGTAACTATGCGCAGTTGTCTGTGTGAGAGACGGATATGCACACAGGTGCACGTCTTCGATCCGTTCATGGAATTCTACAGTACATTGGTGTCGTTTTTCTCTCCTGTACTTCAGTTTTACACAGTGATGTTGGGCAACTGTGATGAACACGATAGTACTGGGTTCGGGTACCAAACTACTCAATTCCCCAACTCATCAGGTGGCATACGCGATCTTTTGACCGCACCATCTGTGTGTGCGCGCGCAACGGTTGAACAGTATTCTTTTAATTTTTACTTAGATCTGTGTAAATTTACAGCTGTGCGCTTCCTGCTCCTTTCTCACAATAACTCTCGTTCTGATCGGAAGAGAGGCCAGGTAATGTATGTGTGTGTGTGCGTGCGTGCGAGGTAGGGGAGTGGGGTGAGAATGTACTCATTTAAGATCATTTGTTCGCTGGTTGATTGATCTTTGATGGTCGTTTGTCTTATTCTACTCAGCTGAGGTTAAATAAGGTACTTCAGTGCTCTGCCATAAATCTGCTGCAGATTCCACGTCTGAAACGCCCATACCCCAGTTTAATGCTCAGACTCCTGGGTTTTCTCCGGCCTAATTCGATCTGTTGTTTTTCTGTCTGTCCGAGTAAAGTCATTACGATAGTTTCTTCCCTTCATCTGCGTCATGCACTCCCCTCTCCCATAGACATTCATTTCTGCATGATCCGGGTGCCATTTGTCTCGTCAATCGCGATTTTGCACGAAACTGTCGTTATTAGTTTCGGATTGAAGTATCTTTCTCGTTCGGATGTTCCTGTCTAGTCGGTTCATCGACTTTATCTTTCGAACTAACTGAATACTTTCTCAAACATGACTGACAATTTGCCCCAACAAAACGTATTGAACTGTGATTTGGATTAATTATAGGGTGATCACATGAGATGTTCCATCGATTATCGAATTTTCATCGTGGTCAATCTGTGATCAATACCAACATTTGCATGACTCAAGCGTTAACTTCGGGCATATCAGACAGGGCATATCGTTTGTTGCTTCGTCAAGTCGCTTAAGAATAATCCGGACGTTAGCATTTCCATGAAATCCTGTTTTGTCATCCATCGAGTACATAAGCCAAATGCGTGACAAAATAATGAAGCTGACGACAAATACAGTGAAATAGATCGAGTGTTCACAAAATGGGAGCTGGGA